ACAGTTCTTGCATATTGAGAACTATGCAACAGTGATGAAAGAAACCAAGAATCTAAGTAAATGAAGACCCATGCTCTGTCCAGGGATTGAAAGACTCAGCAAAGTAAAGGTATCAGTTCTCCCCAAGCTGACATTTACATTATCAGTCCCGGCCAGATTCTTTGTAGATAAAAGACAGGAGTAGTCTAAAACCTGTATGGAAAAACAAAAGACATAGAACAGCTAAAACAATTTTGAAAAAGAAAAATAAGGTGGGAACACAGATCAATGAAGCTGAATAGGGTCAAAAGTAGACCCGCACAAGTATGTCTTACTGATATTTGGTAAAAGTGATTCCATGGAGGAAAAATAACATTTGCAAGAAATAGTGCTGGACTTTCATGCCACTGAGTATGTCAGCTTCGGCCACAGAGTGTTAAGTGGGGTATTCAGTGTCTGGTATAGCCTGTTTATTGCACGCATACATGCATGCACACACATGTCCAGTGTGTTTTTTTCTTTCTTTTTTTTTTAGCATGTGCTTGACAGAGAGACAGAAAGTGAGAAATCACCCCCTAGGAGGGATGGCTAGGCTACTATCCCTTCTCCTTCATTCTCTTCTCAGGATCTTGAGCATGCATGCACATGTGCCTGGCATGAGTTTTAAGCCGCTGGGTCCAGGACTTGAACCACGGTTGACTGTGTGGGAATCCAGCGACGTAACCATTGTGTTATCTGGGTCCCACCCAGCGTGTTTTTCAAGCCACCAGGTTTAGGATGCAAACTGTACAGTTGGACATATGGGATCCAACTGCTTCAACCACCATGATGCTGGCCTTAATATCCTATTTTTTAAGAAGAGTAACAGTAGATACCAAAGACTGCATAGGGTGGGGGAAGGAGGAGAATCGGGGAAAAAATGATTAACACATTCAAGGATGCGTGTAAACAAGGCAAATAGGTTGTGTAGTAGGTTATGGATCTTAAAGAGTATTGCCAATCTTACATATAAAGAAACCCAAAAACTAGTAGAACGAGTCTGGAAGGTACACAGCATAAGTAGTGTTCTTTGTTGAAGATGATGAATATGTTAACACCCTTGATTTGATGATCACACATTGTATGCATGCTTTGTAAAACCATTCTGTACCCCACAAAAAATGTACTACAATTAAATGTAAATCAGAAATTATAAAATCCATAAATCTAATAAAATTTTTGTTTTACGAAGAAGGAAAAAAAAAACTGTGCTGGAGCAATTAAACATTCATGGGCCAAAATAAGCAACCTTTGACCTAAGTCTCACATCTTGTACAAAAATTAACTCAAAATAGATCACAGACTTAAAATGTAAAACATAAAACTACAAAGCTTTTAGGACAATAAATGCTCTTGGACTCTGGGCTTAGGCAAAGAGCTCTGGGACTTGACACCAAAAGCATGACCCATGAAGGAAAAGTAGGTAAGTCAGACTTCATCAGAATGAAACACTTTTCCGTGTAGTAGGCCCGCTTAAGAGAATAACAAGGCGAGTTACAGCCTAGGAGAAAAGAAATGCACCCCACGTGCGTAACAAGTACTGGCATCTAGAGCATAAACAGTTCACTCAGGGCCTGACGTTGGGCTGGTGGTTAAGGCGGCTGGATCCCACATGGCTGACTTGGCAGTTTAAGTCCCAGACACAGCAATTTGTGGGTGCGTGTGTGCGCGATTAAAATCCTAAGCAGAGAATGGAGGCAAAGGAATTGCGGTGCGGTCATCTCCCCCGGGGAGTGATTTCTCTCTCTCCAGCAAGTGCAAGTACCTTCTAGCAAACAAACAAACAAACAAAAAAACAAACAACAATAAACATCTCAAATTTTAAAAGAACAGCCTAATTAGAATATGGGAAAAACATGAAGAGATATTTTACAAGAAAGAATATATAGGGGCCAGCAGTTGGCGTAATGCTTATGTTGCTGGACTCTCATGTAATTGACTGCAGTTTGAGTCCTGGGCCCGTCTGCTTCTACTCATGCCAGGCACATGTGCATGCGTGCCCAAGATCCCAAGAGGAGCATGGAGGAGAAGGGATAGCTGCATGGCCATCCCCCCGAGGGATGATTTCCAGCTTTCTGTCTGTCTCTCTCTGTCTCTCCAGCTAGTGCACGTGGCCTATACAAAAACCTGTCAAAACCAAACAAACGAAAGAGAATATCTAGATGATGCTATGGTCTGAATGTTTGTATCCTCTGAATTCACACTTTGAAACCTGTGGTGTTGGTATTAGGAGGTAGGGTCTTTGGAGTGTTAGGAGTGGTATTAGGAGGTGATTGGGTTATGAGGGTGGCGCCCTCATGAGTGAGATTGGTGACCTTATCAAAGAGGCTTCGAGATCCTGGCCCCTCTGACCATGTGAGCGTGCAGTGAAAACTTCTGTGAAGGGTCTTACCAACACCTTGAGCTGGGTTTCTGACACTCCAGAATTGTAAGAAGGAAATTTCTGTTGTCTATAAGCCACTCAGTCTCTGGTATTTTGTTACAGCAGCCCAGACGGACTGAGACAGATGACAAAGATGTCTGACATCATTAGCCATTAGACAAATGAGATGCCATGGTTTTCAGCATAGGTAAAATGAGTGACACATCCAGTGCTAGGAGGATAAGGAGATACTGGCTCCCCCAACACAGTACAGTGGGGTGTGGAGTGCAGAGTACTGCAGCTGCCTCCATTAACAGCTGGGCAGTTTCTTTAAAAGTGGCCGGCAGGTGGCGCGGTGGTTAAGGGCACTGGACTCCCACATGGCTGACCACGGTTCAAGTCCCAGACCTGGTAGCTTGCTTTCACACTCCCCCCCACCCTGCCCAATCACTCACTCTATCCCTCTCTGGTCAAATTTAAATAAATAAATAAGTTAAATAGAAAAATAATTCTTTAAAAGAAAAGCTAAGACAGATTAAAAAAAAAAAAAAACAGTGGTTAACTATCATACACCCTAGCTATTGCACTCCTGGGCATTTATCCAAGAGAAATACAAGTTGTGGTCTCACAAAGCCCTGTAGCCCTGTAGAGGAATGTTCACAGCAGCTTTGTTCATAAGAATTCCAAACTCGAAAAGCTCAGATGTCCTTCAGTAGGTAAATAGTTAAACCTTGGTGCTGCCCTGCCAGGGAACACTACCTAGGAATAATAAGGAACAATTTTTTACATTTATTTATTTTTACTTTTACTGTAGGGCACTTGCACTCGTCAGAGAGAGACAAAGTGAGAAATGACCCCCCTGGGGGGAATGGCCACGCCACAGTCCCTTCTTCTCCATTCTCCTCTTGGGATTCTGGGCACGCATGCACACGTGCCTGATGTGATTTTCAAGCCGCAAGGCCTGGGACTCAACTCACGGAGTTGGCTGTGTGTGGGATCCAGCACCTTACCCACCACGCCACCTGCTGGCCCAAGGAACAAACTTTTTTAAAAAAAAAGTATTCTGGGCTAGCCAGTGGTATGGTGGTTAAGGCAGCTGGCTCTCACGTGACCAACAGTGCAGTTTGAGGTGGCTTCAAAAGCAAACCAGGTTGGGGCCAGCAGTTGGCGTAATGGCTGTGTCGCTGGACTTCCATGTAGGCAACCGCAGTTTGAGTCCTGGACCTGGTGGCTGAAACTCACGCCGGGCATGGGTGCGTGTGTGCGCAAGACCCTGAGAGGAGAATGGAGGAGAAGGGATTGCGGCGTGGCCATCCCCCTGGGGGGTGATTTCTCACTTTCTGTCTCCCTGTCTCTCTCTGCCTTTCTGGCGAGCTCACGTGCCCTATAGCAAAAACCTCTCTGAAAAAAAAAAAGCACCATGTGCATGTATGTGTATGTCTAGTATCCTGTGAGGAGAATGGAGGAGAAGGGATTATGGCGTGGCCTCCCTGCCCACCCCCCCACACCCTCACAGGGAGGTGCTTTCTCACTTTCTCTGTTTCTCTCCAGGGAGCAATGCTGCCCTATGGCAAATTTAAAACAAACAAACAAACAAAGAAACAAAAAACAACAAACTCTTTTTTTTTTTTCCCCATGAAATTGAGAGACAGAGGGAAGGGAGGGAGGGAGAGACCCACACCCTTGTCAGGGTCTCCTGTAGCAGCCACCCCCAGCCTTCTCATCCAGCCGGGATCACACATGCTTGGCCCGTGCAGGTTGACTGGGGAACTGAACCTGCCATCTACCATGGAGATCCAGCATCAATTGAGCAGTCGGTTACCACTGAGCCACTGAGCCAGGTCGGGAGCAGACTGCTGATACAGCAGCCTGGGTGAATCTCCAGAGAACTGGGTTGAACGAAAGCCCCAGAGGTTGCGGACGGTGTGGTTCCGCTTGTACATCATTCTTGAAATGACAGTTACGGCGATAGAGCACAGGCTCGCGGTAAGAGGGTGTGGCGTGGAGGGCGGCAGGTGTGGCAATGAAAGGGCAGCGAAGGGCCCGGTGATGGTGGCACTGCTCTGTGTTCTCACTGTCGGTGTCGGCATCCTGCTGGCACTGTGGTGTCGTCCTTTTCAAGACGCTCCCATTAGGGAAACGGAGTGAGAGTACTCAGCATGTTTCATAACTGTGTGAATCTGTTATTGCAAAGTTAAACGTGGAATTATAAAACGATCGGGAATCGGCGTTTACCCTATGGGGGGGAGGTTAAGACACTGAGTGTGCTCTGTCACTGAAGGGAGGAGTTAGTCTCACACGTTGTGCACCGACGTCACCTCGGAGAGCAGAAAAGGAAGCTTTATGAGAGGGACACGCAGCTCCTGGACCGACTTCTCAGGAGGGTTCTTCCCGTCCAGTGGCGAAGCTGGCCACTGTGGTTTCTCTCAGCCTGGCAACCCTGGTGGAAAGGGCAGCCTTTCAGCCATACCAGGGAGCAGTTGCCTGTGGCGTGAGGTGGGAGGCCCTCCGTGCTGACGTGGTCTGGGTGCTGCGGAGGGTCCTCTGCGTTGCCTCTGCCCAGGAGCAGGGTCTGGGGTGGACTCCAGCCTCGTGCTCATGGCTTCCTTTCCTCTTGCAGACGCACGCTGCTGTTCTACTCTGCTTCCTTTGCCCCGCGCCGGACTTATGCCAGTGAAGTGGACCCGGTGAGTGGACGCCCAGCCACCTGGAAGCCAGTCAGGTGGTCAGAGTCCTTCCTCCTGAGCCCCAGGCCCTGAGCCACCCCCGGAGTATGGCTGTAGAGCTGCCAGGCCACTTTCTCACTGACCTCTCTCCCAAAGCCCCTGTCGGTAATGAGACTACATGGCCCCAATGTAGAATGACCCTCTAGCCATTCCCAGCCAGGAGGGATCAGGGGAAGCCTGGCAGGAGCTGGAGTGCCCACTCTACTCAGTAAGTTAGGGATCAAGAGTTGACACTCTGCCCATCCCCTGATAGACCTTGAACAAGCTGCTGCTGTTCTTACGGTTTGCACTAAGATGCAGGAGAAAAGATCCCTGCGCTTTCTGTCTGTGTGGCAGTCCAGATTGAACTGGGAAATACATCTGAAAAAAAAAAAAAAGGAGTTTGCATTTGAAAGCTCTCTGCTCTAGTTTCCAGCCCAGCTCTGTCACCATGTCGGGCACTGGAACGTGAGGTCGTCCTCATTCTGATAGAGGGTTACTATAAGGACTAAGAATAGTGTAAGAATAGTGCCTGTGCAAGGCCTTGCCCTCGGTGCGTACACAGCACGTCAGCTCTGACGATGACAATGACGATGACGATGAAGGTGATCGCAGGTGAGGAAACCGGATCCAGAAAGCAGAAGTTACTTCCCCGAGTAGCATTGCTGGTTGGCGGCAGAGACTGGGTTCGGGCCTGGTCTCCTGATTCTGAGTCCCGGTGGCTTCCTAGTCCCTGCGTTTCCCCAGACAGCAGGGCGGGGTGGGGACAGCCAAGCCTGGGCTCTTCAGGAAGCATTAATTGTCACTGCCCAGGGGATGGGGGAGGCCTGAGCACGCTGCCTCAGGACCCTGGGTTCCTAACGTGGGGCCTGACTTTCTGGAACAGGTTGGCAGCAAGGCTGTCCTGGTCACAGGCTGCGACTCTGGGTTCGGGTTCTCCTTGGCCAAGCATCTGCATTCAAAAGGCTTTCTTGTGTTCGCTGGCTGCCTGATGAAGGTAAGAGGCAGGTCGTGTCCTTTGCATAGTCACCATTGTCCTTTGCATAGTCACCACTTACTTTTTTTTATTGAAATTTTCCTGCATGTGCTCATCAGAGAGAGGTGGAGAGAGGCAGAGGGAGAGAGTGTGGCCCAACGGGTGAGGCCATGACGCCATTTCTTCTCCTCCATCTCTCCATCCTTGGGATGTGGGGCATTAACAGACATGTGCCCAGTTTGGTTTCAAGCCACCAGGGCCAGGATGACCCGTGCTGTCAGTCACATGGGATCCAGCTCCCCTAAACACAGGGCTACAGGGCCAGCCCTTACCGCTTACCTTTTTTTTTTTTTTTTTGAGAGAGAAATTTTTGCTATAGGGCATGTGTACTTGTCAGAGAGACAGAGAGACAGAAAGTCAGAAATCACCCTCCAGTGGGCATGACCATGCCTCAATCTCTTCTCCATTCTCTTGGGGTTTTTGTGCACACACACGCACACACACACACACACACCTGGTGTGAGTTTTAAGCCACTTGGTCTGGGACTCAAATCACAGTCGACTACCTGCAATTTTACCATTATGCCATCTGCTGGTCCCCCCTTGTAATTTCTTAAAAATTTATTTTCTTTCTTTCTTTTTCTTTTTTTTTTTTAGGAGAGATTTTTGCTGTAGGGTACGTGTGCTCATAGGAGAGACAGAGAGATAGAAAGCAAGAAATTACCCCCTAGAAGGATGGCCATGCTTCAATCCCTCTCCTCCATTCTCCTCCCTGGATTTTGGGCATGTACGCATGCACGCACACATGAATGGTGTGAGTTTAAACCACTGGGTCTGGGACTTGAACCATGGTGGACTACATTGGAGTCCAGTGCCAGAACCATTATGCCATCTGCAGATCCCCAAAATTGATTTTCTAACAACTGTTGCTTATCTGTTGCTTAAAACAGTCTATACCTTTTTCACTGACTTCAGTCTTGTTCTTCATAGCTTTGTACATGTGTCCATCCATCCGTCCAACATCTGTCTCTCCATTCATTCATTAAATGCCAATGACGTGTCCGACACTTAGCTAGGTGCTGTGGAAGAATGAGATCTGGCCCCTGCCTCCAAGGAGCTCTTTGTCCCATACTGAGGGGATAGCCATGTGCAGATAAGCTGAAGAATTGGAATGAAGAGGATTCTCAAGATGTCTAAGAACGTTCAATGGAAGTGCATAGAAAAAGGGATGATTCAGGAGAGAGCAGGTGACATCTGTCTGGCCACGGAGAACAGATAATGCTGGCATAGGTGCAGAGCAGGAGGAACGGCCTACCAGAGGGCAGGAACGGCCTGAACACAGGTGTGGGAGCTCCTTTGGGACGCAGGTGGAATTTAGGGTGCATGAAGGGAAACAGTGGGACACGCGGCTGCACAGATAATTAGGGGGCAGCTCCCCCCGTTTAGAGAGTTGTGTGACTGTCACCACAGCCCACTTTGAGAAGCTTTCCATCACTCCGAGTTTTCCCTGTTGATCATTTACAGTTAATCTCTGTGCCCTCAGTGGCACGGAGATTAGGCAATACTGATTTCTGTCTCTGTAAAGTGCCCTTCTCATATACGTTTTATAGACACGGAATCATGGGCGTCATTCATGCAACATCATGTTTTGAGATTCATTCCTGTTATAGAATATATAAATAATTTATTCCTTCTTATTGCTAAATAGTGTTCTCTTGTATGGATATACTACATTTTTTAAACAAACATTTGTTTATCAATGGATAAAAATGTTTAGACTTCCAGCTGTTCTGAGTAATGCTGCTGTGAACATTCACATACGTATCTCTGTGTTCACGTGTGTTTGTCACTTCATTCCTTGTCATGGACTCTTGTATAGTGTATTCCTTCTTATTGCTGTATAGTGTTCTCTTTTTTAAACAAACATTTGTTTATCAATGGATAAAAATGTTTAGACTTCCAGCTGTTCTGAGTAATGCTGCTGTGAACATTCACATACGTATCTCTGTGTTCACGTGTGTTTGTCACTTCATTCCTTGTCATGGAATTAAGTAACCAAGATCTGGGCACTGGGTGTGGTGGTTGTTAGTGGGGCAGGGGCTGTTCTGCTCTTTGTGCCTCTCAGTGGCCAGAGATCATATGATCAGACAGACACACATGCATGTGCACACACACACAGATACACACACATAGTATAACCTCATGGTTTATTTATTTCATACATATAAAGGAGATTTTGGGGCCAGCAGTTGGCATAATGGCTATGTCACTGGACTCCCATGTAGTCGACCACAGTTTGAGTCCCGGACTTGGTGGCTTAAACTCACACAGGGCATGTGTGCATGTGTGCCCAGGATCCAGAGAGGAGAATGGAGGACAAGGGATTGCAGTGTGGCCATCCTCCCTGGGGGGTGATTTCTCACTTTCTGTCTCTCTGTCTTCCTGGCAAACACACGTGCCCAATAGCAAAAATGTCTCCAAAAAAAAAGGGGGGGGCAGGATTTTAATATGTTTATTTATACATAAAATAAATAAAGCATGAGGTTATACTGACCTCCTATTGTGATTCAACTCTACGGTATTCCTCCTCGCTTACCTGTTCCGTCTTTGTCTCTTCCCTCTCCTTCAATGAGAACCTTGATTCCTAACTGTCATATATTTACCCTCCGGCTAACCCTACAATACACAATTGCTATGTGCATGCCATCCCAGTGAACTACTAAGTACATGCGTCACCTCAGCTCCTCCCAGAGGCCGGTGCCAAAATAGGAATAATGTGGAAGAGCTTGATTAGGGCAAGGCCTGTAATGGGGAAGGAGCAGGGAAAGACAGGGAAAGGCTTTCCATTGCAATATGGGTCTGAAAGGAAACCAGGAGGACGGAGGGTTAGGTTGGAGCACTTTGGACTGCGCAGTCTGGGAGTCTTGGCTGGGACAGTGGAGCTCCCCAGGGAAGGTGGCCTGCTGGAGGAGCCCACATAGGGCAGGAATGGCCTATGTTCCTGCTATGCTCCTCTGAGCTCTGTTGGCACAGCCCAGGCAAGTGTAGCCCTGAATTCGTGCCTAGCCCGTGAACGGGTGCAGCCACTAGGAGCCCTTTGCCAGCTGCTCCCACCGGGTTTCCCGAAGGCAGGTCTGAGCAGCATACTCTACAGCCACCATAGCAGGGCTTAGGGTTTCCTGAAAGTGTTTTTAGTCTATGGACTGAAGGTATTACGGAGTACTGTGCTTAAAGTTACTTGAGGGTGGGAGTGAGGAGTGGCCCCCTGGCTTAGTGGTTAAGGGAGCCAGATCACGAGGCCAAGCACGTGGTTGGAATCTGGCTGACTGCTTAAAAGACACACTGGGCATGTGTGCACGTTGCCTAATATCCAGAGAGGAGGGATGGAGACAGGATTGCAGCGTGACCCTGACGGGGTGTTTCTTTTTTCCTCTCTTTCTCCAATTCTCTGATGAAGACAGAAGAAAAATGAAGGTTACTTTGTTTAATTCTATTTTTTCTTTTTTTCTTTTGGAGAGGTTTTTGCTATAGGGCATGTGTGCTCACCAGAAAGACAGAGCCAGAGAAATAGAAAGTGAGAAATCCCCCCCCAGGGGGGATGGCCACGCCACAATCCCTTCTCCTCCATTCTCCTCTCAGGATCTTGGGCATATAGGCACACGCTCCCGGCGTGAGTTTAAGCCACCGGGTCCAGGACTCGAACCGTGGTCGGCTACATGGGTGTCCAGCAACATAGCCATTATGCCAACTGCTGGTCCCCAATTCTATTTTTACTTTATCAGTATACAAGGGTCTTCAAAAAGTAAAACATGTATATTATGGAAAACTTGCATGGGTTTCAGTTTGTGTGACCCAACTTAAACTCATACATCAAGTCCATGTTTCTACAAAGTCTTCAAAGTCCCCTCATATGACTTATTTGAAATATAATGTGATTGTTGGTTTTCTTTTATTCTTGTGGATTTCATTTGATTTTTTAATACATAAAATATTAACAAGGCTGTACAGTCAAAATGATCAAAAAGATATACTCAAAGTAGTGTTATTCCTCCACCTCCCATTCCATTCTTTGACTTCTCCCTTCTTACAGAAATGTTTGTACATTGTGTATGCTCTTTTAAAAATGTAATATATCTTTTTCTACTATTATTCATAATAGAGAGTGTGCATGCACGTGAGAAAGAGGGAAACAGATGCACCCTCCACCGGGTCTGGTCACTCTGTAGTCCCCTTCCTCCCATCCTCCAGGTGGAGACCTGTCAGATCTGGGGCACTGCTGCATGTGCCTGGTGTGTTTCAGGCTAACCAGGGCGGGGATTCGAACTGTGGTTGCCATGTGGGATCCAGCTTCTTTTAAACAGCACATTGCTGCCATGCCATGAAGCTGGCCCAAAAGCTTAATGTGTCTTGGAAATCTCTGTGTATGGACTTCACTGAGAGCTTCCCCTTTTCAGCAGCTCCATAATTTAGCCCTCCCATCTCCTGTGGATAAGCAATTAGGTTTCCAATATTCTTCTTTCTTTTTTTCACAATGTAATTTTTTTTTTCTTTGTTAGATTTTTTTTTTTTTTTGCTGTAGGGCATATGTGCTTGCTGGAGAGAGAAAGAGACAGAGAGAGAGGAAAAGTGAGAAATCACCCCCAAGGGGGAGAACCATGCTATAATCCCTTCTCCTACATTCTCCTCTTAGGATTTTGGGCATGCTGTGTGCCTGGCATGTTTTTCAGGTCACTAGGTCTGAGACTTGCACTAGAGTCAGCCCTGTGGCATCCAGCATCTTCACCACACCACCTGCTGACCCAGGTTTCCAATATTTTACTGTTGCAAGTAATGCCACGATGAATAACCTTGGGCATGTATATTTTTATGTTACTGGGGGTTTGTCTTTAGGGAAAATTACTAGGAGTACAATTGCTGTTAGGCCAGAGGGTAAATAGACTATGTTCTAATTTTAAAAGATATTCCCAAATCACCCTTCATTGGGGTGTGTAATTTCATATTTCCAGCAGTAGAGTATGAGA